GCTATAATGCCACAGATCTGAATTGTTGCCGGGATCTGTAGTCGAAGATCACCTGAAGCAGGAGAACCTTCGTCCGCATAACTAACGACTGGAGAACAATGGGAAAACCATTATTTAAAACTGTCAGAAGCAGTGACAGCGAGGAACTTCAAATAGACTCATAAACCCTACAGCGCAACAAAATCTTGAGTACGTCACCATCGGTTCCATAGAGCGTGGGTTGGGTGGCCCGTGGAGATGGGAGGAAGAGGAGATCCGGTGTCTATCCCTAATAACGTGGTCGACTTTGTGACAAGTATTCTGAGTCCATAAAAACAACGAAGGATGGATAACCCGGAGCACCAGAGCGAAACGTCACCGTCCAAAGTCAAATCTATTTGAAATGCATAGCGTGAGCACAATCTGCAGAAGTGCATTAATTACGTGCACTGTTCGCTGCCTCGGCTCGAATTCGTCATTATTTCCTTGTCTGAAACAAAAACAAGGCTAATCATGTGCTTGCCGAATTCAACACGCTGTTCTTTGTGATTTAAGGAAGGCTACCCATACCGAATTAGTTCCACGATGTATGACCAATTATTTCACGCCGCCTCACCTCAATACTAAACGTTTCCCCAGAGCCTAGTTATGATTCGCCGGAAAAGCTATATGCGTCCCGGTTTGCAAAACGAATAGCCTTCAACAGCACATAGCGATATAATCGCTATGATAAGCTGTTTTGACCTGAGCCATTTCAGATCAAATCTGACCTGATTGAAGGTGGTGGTGGTGGTGGTACCGCCGAACCGGACTTACGACACCAAATCTGACTCTTATCTTCAGCGAAGCGTTTTGGAGGACACCTGCCAGATTCATGTCGATTACAGTAATTCGTCAAACTGAATCATGCAATATCGACTTAATATGGACGAGTCTCGACCGACACATGTCTACGAGCGACTAATTTATATGGTGCATCACCCAGTGATTTCCAGTTTTTTTTTAAACTATGGCGGGAGCCCCAAAACCAGAACAAGTGTCCTGCTCGAGCAATAGTCTTACAGTAATTTGTTGTATGGAATCAACGTCACAGCGTAAGCTCATTACAGTCCTAATGTGTTCTTTGAAACGTTGACTGCGAGTAGCCACTGATTACAGTTGATTTGGACCTATGAAGTCCTTAAGGCTTACAGGCTGCAAATCTTAGCGAGAATTTACAGAATACTGATGGTAACACTAGCGCATTGTCGGAGTCATAACAGCTAATAATTACGTGACTTAACAATTGTTGAAGCTATAATTTCACATGGTTGTTATTGACAAACATGCAAATTGGTGAACACCAAGAATAACTGCTTCAGTGCGTCACTGTCTGTCACTGGGGGGTTTGATCAGGTATTTTACGAAGTTAAAAATGCAAAAGAGGAAGTGATCTCTCCGGAATGTGTCATACGTTCAAATTCCGTCTGAGATATTATAGGTACTGGATGTGAGAGTCGAGGTAAATTCAGCTATGTGCTTCTACTCGTCATATGAGCTCAACACGAGCTAGAAGAGCAAGGAGGGATGGGGGGGGGGCAAAGTGAGCCAAGAATTACTCATCCGAGTGCCATTGATATTTAGAATAAGCAGGGGAGAGGGTGTGGGGCTGTATATGATTGTATGAAGAAAATAGAGATCGGTGACTAATACTCCTTGCCCTAGATCGAGTTTCGTGACAAAAAGCTTCTACTGTCTACGGAAAACAAATTAGCACTGTGGACTCGTTTTATTCTCGTCACCCACTGAGCTGTCATAAAGCTTGCAAAACGGCCACACCAGGAAACCTTCTCCAAAATGGGTGCAGAAAGATTCAGAAAAACGCTGCAGACGAGGAAATTAATGGCAAAGTGCAAAGAGAAAAAACGTAATGGTGTCATGGAAATGGAGAAAAATTGGCTCAGGAATCTCTCCATGCACAATTCTGTAGCAAGTAGTTTCAGCAACATAAAAAAGAAAATAAGACCGTTTTGAGCAGTTTTTATACGGGGAAGATACGGAATAACTAGCTCCAGCCGTTCTATCGAGACCTTGTACATTGGACGTTATAGGCCAGGCAAATTTTGCCACCGTGGTCGTTCTCCTATCAGATTTGGTAAAAATGACACGGGATCCGAAGGGAAGAAGCACTGTATGACTTGAGCGATTTGACGCTACCATTGCTAGGCCTCCAGCCATACTACCGCTTGGTTGAACGCTTAAGAAGTGTAAGGTGCGCACCATGTAGCTTTCCTTCATCCTCCCTCAGGAGAATAAAGAAAGTCAAAGAATGGAAGACAAAAAACCCTTGAAGGGAATGTCTCAGATGTTTTACCTTTCGACATCGGAGGACTTCAATGGCAGAACAGCTTTGCCGCTTCGCTGTATTTCGACAGGGTTTGTAGCGACTACATCGCCAATCTGAAATATACCACTGTATATAGCGTACACACATCTATTGGTTCTAACACGGTCGAAAATCTGAAAATTTGACGGTACGAGAACCCAAAGTGTGCATATTCCCTCGACAAAGTATAGAGTCCTATTTCGATTCACTTCACATTTGCAACGAAGTTATCAAAAATCCCACTAGCATAAGGGGTTCATTTCGAAAATAGGTATTATTAACTGCTGATATGCACAGTAGACACTCACATACATGTCAACAAATGAGCTGTAGCTAATCCAAAAGCAATGACATCATAGATCTCTAATAGGGAAACATTTGCCCGACTTACATCTCCGTTCAGCAGCCGCTCTCTGACCACCACCGTCACGATTTCAGGCTCCGGTAACGGCCCATTGCTAACGTGCAGGTACACATGCAAATACGCCTAAACACCGGGAATAGCATAAGGTAGAGTGGACGGTCACGAGTAGAAATATTTCACAAACCCTCGAAACTTTCCGGACCATCGTAGTGAGCGAAACGGGAAATCGTGCGACCAACATATCAGGATCAATACCGTCTGGAAAAGATATGCTGCATTATAGGGGAAAGTAGCCTTTTTCGTCGTGGAACAGGGTTTGTACCGGAGGGATCGACTGCCATGATGAAAGTTTTCTCTTCTTGATCGTGCTCAATTTTGTCGTTCTCTCCCAACGCCTCAAGCATTTCCTCGATCGTTGACGGCGAAAGGTCGATTGAGTCGACGTTCGGTGGCTCTTGCATGCCCATTGAATTCAGCAGACGCATCTGTAGAAGCATACGAAAAGCGTTGGACATTGATAAATCCATTTTTGAAGTACGTTGATAGCCACTTCAGATCGTAGCGGTATTTGAATCGGGCGCATTCGATTATACCGTTCTAGCGACGGCCGGTCAGTGTACTAATCATAGATTTCTCCTTCCATACAGGGTAGCACCAATCAACTGACAAAAAAGGATAAAAGGGCCGACGAGGAGGATTCAGAAAAAGATTCAGCTTCGGACCATACGTATGGTGAGCGGCCTAACTTTCATCTAAACCCTGCCCCAGACTTGTAGGGCTAAAAATCGGTTATTGTACCAGGAAATTCCTTCTCTGATCCAGGTGAATGGTTATATTTATCATGATCATCACATGTAGCGTTTTCTACAAGTTAATGAAGAAAGAGTCTCGTTCCTGCACGATAATGCTGGCAGATACTGTCGCTGGCACATATCTCGAATTGCATAGCGAAGTAATGGAAAGTAATTAAAAAGAAAGTTTATAGGGATGCTTGACTTTGGTGGGCTTAAGGCGCATATCGATATGAGCTCACGCGCCTTCACAGCTGATATGAGAAATTCCTCACGATATGTCTGGCAGACTATCCATTCAAATTTTAGGAGAACACGTAAAAGTATGCACTGCTCACATGAAGTGCTTGGGCAACACTTAGGGAAACCTAAGCACTCGGATTCAAATCAAATGATTCGCTTACAGATTTCTGACGTTCTCTTGAAAACGTGGACTCTTCTCGAAAGTGATTGGAAGCTTTTCATACGAATTTTGACAAAAGCGAGACTCCCAAACAATGTTGGCTGCGAATGTATTACAATCAAGTGTATTTATCTATTTAATTATTTACATACGACCTGAGAGCTGCTTTGAGGTCGCGAACAACACGGGAACACTAATCAATGATGTGAAGTCCAATGAAGTCAATCAATAAATGGGATTACATTAAACGATTCGAGATCAAATTTCAGATCAAGTCCTTTCCAGACCGAAAAAAACCTTCAGCCCTTATAGAGATTCTTAACTGGTGCAGAAAGCTTTTGAATGGAGAATACTGACTTGTACATCGGCTGAGCCCGCTAGTCGTTTTATAGACCAAATTGCATTCAGATATGACCAAGGTTGTAAATGGAAGCAGAATACGCGGCGGATTCCAAAATGGAAGAGGAACTAGTGACGTTCACCCTTTTTTGCAGCCCAGAAGGTCCTAGTGAAGCAAAAAAAAAACGAAGAAGGCCGGCTCTACTCAGATCCGTGGACAACTTAACATTAAGGAAATTGTCACTGCAAAAATTAACGAATAGTTACACTTTTATAGCATTCACTGCAATGTTCATTAACATGGGTGATGACACTTTTAGAGGCTCCAAATGCAGCTGACGTGATTAACAAGCAATTTGGTATCAGCCGACGAGGTATGCAGAATAAAAACAGTGAAAAAGCATTAGAACCGCCAAAATGACCGAGGATCACGACGCGAGCAAGTTCGGTAACCCCAAGAAACGGCTCACCTTTATGTCTTCGAGTCGGAGCTTTGCCATCTCTTCTATACAGATATCACTACAGTTTTGGGTGCACACGTTCGTGAATAGTACCGTAGCGGTAAGCACGAGATCGAGCGCAAGTCGTCTAATCGTCATCGTGTCTCTGAACGTTTCACACTACAGCCACACTACACGGACACAACGATTGAGTGTGTAGCACTGCGTTGCTGACAGCCAAATCCGCTTGGCTTTTCATCATCTATGTAATTCGTAACTCCGCCTTTTGTACCGCCCATTCTAGGTGAAGTCTCTCTGCTCCCTCGAGGATTCGCGTAACTGGGAGTGGCCACGCCCACACAGAGGACACATCGGTGAGGCGGAGATACAGGTCTCACAGTGTGAGCTTGTCCCACATAACATCGAGCAGCCTCTTCTGTTTATAAACAGTGCTAGAAGTAAAAAGATAGGACTGAGCTTGAACGATCTATCCTTGAGACACGCCATGCATCTTGCTTCCATAAGTGAGGAGCGACCGATGTAAAAGTTAGTGTCTCAATGTGCGTTTATCCGACTTAACCGATTCAGGAAGGATGGAAAGATAGATGGCTTGCGCGAGGTCTAAGCCGGCAATTGAATCCTGGACTATGGGCACGGTGAGCCGTGCCATTCTGCACCAAAACATCCCAGGATACAAATCCATAAAAAACATTACCTTAGACTTTTGGCCACAGTTATCAACAGGACTATCATCCGGCAGAAACACATTTTGAACCCATTAACGAAAATCTTACGCTATTAGCTAGACTGCTCGAACGGAATTGCGTTTCTAAAAAAACGGATAGGAAAAAATTATACGAAAATATTGAATGGCAATGGGTTGAATAACGCAGAAGCAATGGAGTGAAATTCGAATCGATACAGAACCATTCCTACTATGTTTCAGATGCTCTTCATGACCACCAAACCATTCGGGCACACTTCATCTCTTTTGAGCACTGTTCACAGTTGGCGACTCAGGCGAATGGGCGAATAGATGGGGAGGAGGGATACACATCCAAATGGGTGCGTAGGCGACTAGGCGAATAGGGCTGTACTTGTACTTATTCGCTTCACTCCATCCGTTAGGGCATTGTAGCCGATAGCTTGTGCGCGTATTGATGAAAAGAGATTTGACTCAACATGGTAGCAGTTGAAATTTTGTTTATCACCAACTTTTACTGGTTGCCTTTGTGCCGAGCGCAAATCTGCTTGTTCGGCTAAAAAGAAGTTTCGAAACAAGCTCGAAAATTTCTTTTGTCACTCACGAGTAAGCGAATCAAGTTGGATCCGTGTTTCTTTTAGCAATAGGTTGTGTCGAGCGCTAGCTAATAGTGACCAAAAACGCAGCATTGTAGTTTCTAAATGACAAGTTTAACTTGACGGAAGCCTTTTAATGACCGTTCGCCAAAAGACCCAACGCTAAAGGTACACACAAACCAGCCCACCATATTACAGTTCTTTCGTTATAGCATGCTATCATGAGAATACTGAAATTCTCATGCGGCACGGCATGGAGCCGCAGAAAATATCCAGAAATAGAGAAACCTGCTCTCCCAAGCCAACCTCCTTCACTGCTCGAGGGTTTATTTTCGTTTTTTCTCTTCTGTCGTTCTATTTCGCATCTCTATACTCAGTTTCAGTCGCCATAATACTCCATACTGAGCCCGACTTTTGCCTTCAGAGTAGTTAAGAGAAAGAAAGAAGAAAACGGAGTAGGGTTCGCTAGGATACAGAGGGGGGGGGGACAAAAAAATTTTGCCCAGGTCGCACTTCGGCCTTTTTTTCTTCGCAGAGATTGCCGTCGTTGACGGAAGTTCCTCAGCAAAATATTCCCTAAATGTCCCTCTATAAGTACACGCAGGCCCTCCTTCACTACCCTCACCGTCTTCAGAATATGACGTCATCTGTCACCGTCGTCGAGCTCAGGGAGGCCTACAGTAACTGCTTCAGCCTGAAGCTCTTACATAATTTCTTGGATCGATTCAACGTGGGATAGTTTCCTAGGGACATTAGCTCTAACTATGCAAACCCCCTCGGAACCCGCCCTTCGGAACCCGTCGTAGGTACACGATCAGTCGAGAACCCCATTGAGCTCGACCAGAGCACCATGTTTCCGGGGCAAATTTTCTGATGCCGTCCACGTAGATGGCCACTATGAAGATTTTCTTATGAAATGAAATGCGCTCTTCAATTCTAAGTTGGGAGCACACGCTTTGAGCTGAGCAAAGTGTGATTAAATCCATTTGAGTCTGGAGACAAAATGTCTTTTTTTATTGCCCCCCCCCCTCCTTGTATATTTGTAGGAAGGTAGATTTACTACTTTTGACAGTGATTGATTACTTATCGATCTTCTAGCGATATAATTCATAACAATATCCATAAGGAACACAGATTTGCAAAGCGGCTTTTGCTTATCACTCACTCACTGTTATTATTCGTTGACAAACTTTATCACGTCAATAATCCCACTGTCAAGGCTTTTGCGATCATGAGCACGTTTGCTGACATGTTTCTCAACCCTTCGTAATCCATTAATACGCATCATCAAACTATAAGGAGATGTCAAGTTCTTCTGTTTAACCGGAAATGGGAATACAAAGAGTCCTCCAGATCATCGGATAAGGAAGGATTGAACTCCGAAGGGTAAGTGATTGAGAGGGACCACAAAAAAGTCTGGGGGAAGCCATCAACTAAGATTAAGGACATAGCATAAGATGGATTTGAAAAATGATCACAAGAAGCATCGTGGATATCGCAACGGCGATGATTGGCACCAAAGAGAAGGAAAATTAGGGAAGATCCTTCCACCTTTGTTCTGCTACAGAGCGAACATTATACGGAGGGCCAGGGCTGTCTCGTGGAAGTCTTTGGGATCTCCCTTTTCCTGCGTAACCACACTCCCTCCGCTTGTGTTCACTTTCATTCGCGACGTCAACATGTTGTAGAGTGATTGCTTATGCACAGTTGGTGTTGGTGTCCTATTTTGTGAAGGAGGATGTTATCGCGGCTGAAGTACCACGTTAGAATTTAAATCCATACAGCTTGGGTCAGTGAAGAATAGTACACTTTACACCTAAGTGAGAATGCCTCTCAGAGGTGCGAGGACACGTGTTTAATTGAAAATCGCAAATGTATTTAATTATGTGCGAAAACTCCGCGGATAACTGCGAAATGAACTCATTAAGGGTGACGGCTTTGGGGTTACAACACCACTCCAAACATCTGTACTAGTCACGTAGAAATGGCAGTCAAATTGGAAAATCATAAACAAAACAGCATGAGTAAAGAGTGGGGTATTTAAAAGGGAAAAATACTGTCAATACTCAAGAATATAAAAAAAAACTTCCGAGATAATCCGAAATGACCCGAAAAATAATCCGAAATGACCCGTTATCACCACCAACTATCAATAACTAGCTGTAAGTGGAAGCCTAACCAACAAAACTATACCTGACACTTCTACTGTGAAACAAAGCAAATAGGAGTAGTTTGAGACAAGGAGACCCGCATAT